TGAGCATATAGCGCTGCAACGTTTTTAAGAAACTGCTGATATTGGACCTGGGGGTTTGGCTGTTGTGCTTGACCTTGCATCATGTTTGGTTGCATACCAGGATGCTGCATGGGGTTTTGCATTCCGCCGGGCATCTGTGCGCCTGGCTGCTGTCCTTGTCGCGCAGCCATGTTGCTCGCGGCGAGGTTGCCCAACTGCTGCTGCTGTTGCAGGCGCATTGCGTACTGCCTCTGCGCCTCCTGCTGGCGACTCTGCAGATTTTGTGACAGCTGGACCGATTGAACGGGGAATTGGTTACCGGAGTTTGCGTTGAATGATTGGTTCATAGACGAGGGTTGGAAGCCCATGGGCGACATCTGGGGCGCATGGGGGTTTTGCGCGGGCGAGGCAGTCTGCATCCGCTGGCCGCCCATCTGGCCGGGCGCAAAGTGCTGGCTTGACATGGTGGGCGAGGGCGTGTTGGCGAATGGCTGTTGGTGCTGGAAGCCGAATTGGGGCTGCTGGGAGGGTGTCTGTGAGCGGGATAGAGAGAGGGCGGCGCCGGTGGAGTCTCGCTTCTGAGGAACTTGGGGCATTGGGTTGTAGGGGCGCGCGCCATTCATCTGGGGGTTTGCGATGGCGCTAGGATCGATGAAGCTCGAGGTGTCGTACATGGTGTTCTGGGGAGACTGGAAGTCCATGGTGGAGCGCGACTAGGGCCGACGGGCGATGGTCGCGGCGGGAACGAGTGAAAAGGCGCGTGTCCGCCGAGGAGAGCGGCGAGGGAGCGTGTGTGTGTTCAGGCACGTGAGTGGGCTTGGGAAGCACCTGGCGAGCACGGCGTCAGCAAGCAAGTTGATGGTGAGATGGACGACGCGCCTCTGCTGGCGGGAGCAGCAGCAGCGGGTATGGACGAAAGCCCAGCCCCGGACAGGCACGCAGCAGCAGCAGCAGAGAGCGGCGAGCGGGAGCAGCAAACACACAGTGCGGCAATATGAGAGAGTAGCGCTAGAATGCTCTTGTCATCAGGGCAAGGCGGAATGGCGTGGCTCCGGGGGCAGTCGAGATGTTCACGTAGCGCAGACGCGCTTTGCGGACTATGCGGTGCTGAGGAGCGGACGTGGAGCGAGAAGGGCGCTGTTGCCAAGCAAAGCCCTCTAGCCTCATCCAGCATGGCAGGCTGGCCAGAGGCTTCGACAGGCGACGACTACGACTCCCGGACGGCCAGAGGACCAGCACGGGTAGACACACGACGGCCGCAGAGCCTCGCACGTCAGATTCCCAGGCCGTGTCCACTCGCATCCGACCAGCAGGAAGACGCGTTCGCGCGTCGCGACAACGACAGGCCAGTCGAGTGCCTGCGTTCCGGCAGCTCACAAGCCTAGGCCTAACTCAATTGGAATCCTCCGCGTCTCTGGCCGTCGTGACACGGAATCTGCTCGTTCTCTCCACTTATTACATCACCTTGTGCCTGCACTTGTCGCTTGCGCTGGGCGTCGAGAGTGGGCACCCGCCAGACCGCTTGACTACTATCGCCCAGCCCGACCGTCTGACCCCCCAGCAGAGCGCCACACCGAGTCCCTCTGCCTGTCCTGGCCCCCCTCGACTTATATGCCCTGGCCCATGGTGTTTGGCCCCGCTGGCCCCCGACTCTGCAATTCCCACTGTCCCCCGGCCATTGCTGCCAATTCCCATTGCCTCTGCCCACCTAGTAGTACGCCGGTTGATCTCTGGCGAGCCAATCTCCCTCTGGGGCCTGGCCGCCTCGAATCTCGGGAGCCCGCGCCGCCCCAGCATTATACGTGCTTGAATACCGTGGCCTTCCTTCACAAGAGATGCCCACCCGGCATTCCCCTCGTCGCTCCCCGCCATGCCGTTCCTTGGTGTCGTTCGCTGCTTTGAGTAGTAGTCGACAAGGGTCCATGACCATTCACCTGCCATACCTAACCCAACCCAGTCGGCGAGCGCGCCAATCCCAAGCTGTCAGGTCCATGTATCGTGATCCTACTGTATGCAACTTCTGGGTGCGTCATGCAGCTTATATGTAGCCTGATATATCGCAAAGTTGCTTTTGCCTTCCCCCCTGCCATATGTCTTGTCTGAAGCAACTGGGCGCTGTGAGATCATGCCCTCACGTGATGTCGGCGGTAGCGCCCCCCCAAACCCCCGATGGCTCGCGCCTTCCATGAGCTTCAGCACCATTGCGACTGACAAGCACCGCCTCACCCATACCCCAACACGTCGAATCACCAGTTGCTACAGTCTTCCAACCAGCAACCCGTTAGAACCCGAACCCTCATCTATACCGAGACTATTCAAATTCCATCACCATGGCTGACGCCGCCGTCGAGAACCCGGCCAACACAGTCCCGCCGCACAAGAAGCAGCTCCCGTCATCGATACCAAACTTCGATGCCTTGGAGGGCTTCTCGACCGAGGGAAACGACGACTACTCCACCTTCAAGAAGCTACAACGGCAATTAGAGTGCGTAGTGCGCGTCTCATATCTGAACAGCAAGTGGCTAACAGCCGCAGATACATCCACCTTCAGGAAGAATACATCAAGGATGAGCAGCGGAGTCTGAAGCGCGAGCTGGTGAGGGCACAGGAGGAGATCAAACGCATTCAGAGTGTGCCACTGGTCATCGGACAGTTCATGGAGGCAATTGACCAGAAGTAAGTCCTACACACAATACACCGGTTGCGTCACGAGACTGACATGAACAGCACCGGCATCGTACAATCATCGACTGGTTCCAACTATGTCGTTCGCATCCTCTCCACCCTCGACCGCGAATTACTAAAGCCATCCTCATCCGTCGCCCTCCATCGCCACTCGAATGCCCTTGTTGACATTCTTCCCCCCGAGGCCGACTCGTCAATTGCCATGCTTGGCCAGGATGAGAAGCCCGACGTGACATACGCCGACGTGGGAGGTCTGGATATGCAGAAGCAGGAAATCCGGGAAGCCGTCGAACTGCCCCTCACACACTTTGACCTGTACAAGCAGATTGGTATTGACCCACCGCGTGGTGTGCTGCTCTACGGTCCCCCTGGTACCGGAAAGACAATGTTGGTCAAGGCTGTCGCGAACAGCACAACTGCTTCGTTCATCCGTGTGGTAGGGTCTGAGTTTGTGCAAAAGTACCTTGGTGAGGGTCCACGTATGGTCCGCGATGTCTTCCGAATGGCGCGAGAGAACTCGCCATCCATCATCTTTATCGACGAGATTGACGCCATCGCTACCAAGCGTTTCGACGCGCAGACGGGTGCCGACCGAGAAGTGCAGCGTATTCTCCTCGAGTTGCTTAATCAGATGGACGGTTTCGATCAGACGTCCAACGTCAAGGTCATCATGGCCACCAACCGTGCCGACACTCTGGATCCCGCGCTTCTCCGACCTGGTCGTCTTGACAGGAAGATTGAGTTTCCCTCGCTGCGAGACCGCCGTGAGCGCCGTTTGATTTTCTCGACGATTGCTGGCAAGATGAGCCTGTCACCCGAGGTAGATCTCGACAGCTTGATTGTGCGCAACGACCCACTTTCTGGTGCCATTATCGCAGCCATTATGCAAGAAGCGGGTCTGAGGGCTGTACGCAAGAACCGATACAACATCATTCAGAGCGATTTGGAGGAGGCATACACGAGCCAGGTCAAGGGAGCGACAGAAGCGGATAAGTTTGACTTTTACAAGTAAGCGGGGCCGTTTGAAGGGGGTGGAAGAACAGTAGTAGTAGTAGTAGCACCATTGTAGACTATGATGGATAGACTAAGGCCATTACGGTCTTGAATCTTCTGAATAATGCAACAAGCATGACGACGTAAACATATCCAACGTTATATTTATCAACTTTAAACTGTGCCTAAATGTTTCTGGACCATGTAACACATATGTTTGAACTGGGAGAGAAATGTGAAATATATATGCATTCGAATTTGTTTGCCATCTATCTACCAGTTAATGCGCCGCTACTGCTTACAGCCCATGATCTCTCCCTTTCTGTCTGTCTGTCCATCTGTCTGTGTGTGCCTTTTTTTCTCGCAAGCACCGCTAAGTATATCCTCTCTCTCTCTCTCTTTCCAATTCACAAAACGACTTATTATTCCCACCAGCTCTGTCCCAAATCCACAGACAAACACACACACACATATATATATACATGCGCACACGCTTGCATATTCCTACGCCGCTGCCATTCAATCTTTGCCAAAGCCGACTTGACTTCCAGAACCCGCATCCGGAAGGAAAAGAAAAAACACCAAAATTCCAACACAAAGAAAGGAGGAAAAAGGAAAACAAGACCAGTTTTCCCCAATTCCCTCCCTTCCATTTTCCCTTTCTCCCTCTCGCACACGTATGCATAGCAGCAACCAACACTATACAAACCGATTCAACCCCTTCCCAGAGGAAAACAGTAGTAGCAGCAGCAGCAGCAGCAGCATAACAAAACGAACAAAGGAAAAGAAAAAAGACAAAGACAAGCAGATCCGATATCCCGCAGGACAACTATCTCCAGTCTGATCTAACAATCAAGACAGGGGGAGGTGTCGAAGGGAGGATTGAGCAAAACTCATGGTATCATGCATTCGCAAACGCACAAAAACAAAATGGATGATGTAAGATAAGAGTGTTGGCTTTGCAAAAAAAAAAAAAAGGAAAAGAACATAGGAGATGAAGACAAAAGCGAAGAGGAGGAAAAAAACTCCTCCAGTTGCTTTGACAACAAGACGACCCACAAGACAGAGACGGAGAGACAGAGGTTTGGGGTTGTTTGGGTGTGGAGTGGTTATGCAAGAAACCAAGAAAAAAAACTCCCGACATAGAGAAAAAAAAAAGATGTAAACAAGAAGTTTTTGATATTGATTCGAATGGGTTGGTTGGTTGGTTGGTGGAATTAACAGGAGTAGAATGGACAAAGACGCACACATAAAAAATTGAAGGAAAAGAAAAAGAGACATGTTTACATTGAATAAAAAGACGGATCCCTCCTGGTTCGATCGCCTGGGATGTGTTTTCCTGTTTAGTTGACACGGATCGTGGTTTCAAGAGGGGTTCGTGGGAGGTCCTTGTCTATCGACGATCGGGGGATGCCTCCTCTGCTCTTGTCTTCCTTGGGGGGTGTTGGGGGGCCAGAATGCCTGTTGGACATGTAGTCATCCTTTGGCGGTGTGGGAGGACGTCCAGCGTCTTTTGGTGGCGTTGGTGGCGCCCTCCCGAGCGACTGATCCCTTTCTCTTGATTGTGACCTGGCTCTTGCCTGGAGTTGTGGTGGGCCAAGGTAGGGTGTACCTGCAGACTGCGATGGTAATGACGACGTTCGCTCGTTGTGCTCGCTCGCACCAGCTGCATTGTCTGTTGCGCTGCGGCTGCTGTGTCCACCGACGCTGGATGATTCTCCGACCTCCTCAACTACGGGAAGTGTGGTGCCTATCTCGCCTCTCTCTGCCGATGGGCTACGTACTGCCCGCATGTGGAAATTGGGTACATCCTCTTCATTCTGCCCGTGTCTTCGCGAACGATCGGCTTGATGCTCAGCCTTCTCAATGACACGCTCAGTTGACAACCGCTGGTTAGGAGTTGCACTAACGCCATCAAGCGAGAGATCGTTGAGTTCGTTTGTCACTTGTTCTTGCTTCTCACGCTCGGCTGCCTCCTTGGTCTTGGTGACGGCGCTGATGAATTTGATGAAGCGATCTCCGTATCGTTCTGGAGGAATGGCAGATATTTGAGACTCGGTGTTCGCGATACCCTTGAAGAAGTGCTCCATGCGCTTGATGAACGAGTACTAGAGAAATATTAGTCACCAACCAATCAGTCCGGATGATGCTAGCAAACTTACGTGTGTCAGGCAGTCGATAATACCAAGGTAATAAATCTCCTCTCCGGGCGCGTTATCCTCGTGAGTAGCCCGGAAGCCACCATCGTCCGAGTAAAAGTAAAAGTCACGGTTAGGATCATCCAGCTCATCTGGCATCTTACTTGACGTTTGACCCATGGGTACTGGCTTTTGTGTCTTGACCATCTGCCTTAGTTCGCGTGCCTTGCGCGCGTTCTCCAGCTTGGATGGTGTGCGCATGAGCTGATTAGGTGGCTGATCCGGTGACTCCTCGCCGCCAGGTGAAAAGACCTTGAGGGTCTTGTCCCGCAGGTTTTCTTCGTTGCCCTTCTCGAGATCATGGATACCAATTAGAAGTGAGTAGTCCATGATGTGCAGACGCTGCAAGAGCTTTACATCTTTTTGCATCTGTTCAATGAACATCTTCTTCTTCACCGGCCCCAGCTCGAGGTGCTGATCTCTGCGTAACCAGTTCAGGTCCTTGAGTGTTGCCCGAGGGTTGGCAGCCAAGTTTTCTTCCTTGAAATCTCGTCCAATGGTTGAACCTTTCAAATCAAATGTGCGGTGAATATCTCTATGCGGGGGAAACAGGTTGTTCATGACGACGAAATGGATCTTGCGTCCATAGGGTATCTTAACGCGGTGCAGGCCGTAAAATTGGGAAAGAAGGGTATTAGGGTTTTCTTGTACGTGGTTGTAGTAGTCCTTGAGTATCTTACGAAGGAACTTGTGTTCAGCGTGGTGAATGGTCTTGATGATGTACTTGTAGTCTCTGGAGAAATAGAAGAAGCTGCCACTCTTTCCGGGCGAGCCGAGCTCGGAAAGGATGTACTTGCTGGTTAGCGATACGAGGTAGTCGGCAGGGTCAAGCTTGAAAATGGTACGCAGGTGGCGGAACACCCATGGAGCGTAATCCTTGAATTTGAAGTCGTACTTTGCGGAAGGCGTGAGTTCGTTGCCGGTTCTGCGAGGTTGTTAGTATCATGTCAGGGGTTCAAAGAAAGCAGGCCTTGCAGACGAAGTGAAACTGAACTCGAGCAACAGCTTCGTCTCGGCAGGAAAGCCAGTCGGCACGTACATGTCAAACGAGAACTTGTGCTTCGCGTCAAAGTCGGCGTCGGTAAGTTCTCGGTCCATCTTGGCGTTTGTTCTCGAGACGGTGAAGCGGATACCGGTCAACATGTTGTAGGCCGTGACCCAATTGACGTGGTTTTGATCCACCTTTGTTCCTACCACGACGCGATCTTCATCTTCGTCTTCTTTGCGCTTCCTCTTGCTGGCCCGCTTCTGACGAATGTGTTCAGCCCAGCGTGCAGCTTCATCATCCTGCGGCACTTCCTCGGGAGGCATGTCAGAGTTGATGGATCGCGTGTTCCTGCGCACAAGCGACATGGAACCTCTGCGCTTGTGGGGGTGGCTGGGCGAGAATCTACCGCTTGCGCTGATGACGTCGTCGGTGTTGTTCTGGCTTTCACGAGCGCGCGAGGATTGCACCTTGGGCACCTCGAGCGTGTGACGTTGTTGCAGACGGTAGGGATGTTGTGATGGCCCGGGAGTGCTGTTGTTGTTGTTACTGGTATTGGTGAAGGTGGGTGGGGAGGAGGCACGCTGAGCTTGGTTGGTTGGGACCTGCAAGCTGGGTGTGCCAGCTTCGGCCTGAGACTGGGGCGATGACGAAGTGGGAGCGTTAGGGACTGAACCCACGTGGGGGACGTGAAAGTCTTTGCTCGCTTCCCTTGTAGCATCGCCTATGTCTATTTGGCCCATTTCGACGTGGGTTGTGCTACCGCACAGTCTGTCCTTGGTCTTTGTGCTGTGTACCGACGCGAAGTAGCCGTCGTCTCTGGCCGGTCGCTCAGTCGACCAGCGCTGCGTGTCGGACGACTTGGGCATGGTGTCTGGGTCGTATGAGTCGCCTCGGTGCCAGCTGGAGCGGCTTTCTTCGTGCGACAAGCGCTTATCGATGCTCTCGGGCCTGGTTGAACGTGCGTGGGGATGTGCGTGCGTCGTGTTCATGCCATTGGTGAGCTTTGCGTTCATGGGCTGCGAGTTGCCATTGGTGAAGGAGTCCCTGGGTGGCGGTGTAGTCGACGCGGCGGTTTGTCCATGTGCGAGGGAAGAACGACCGTTTGAGTCGGTAGCATAGGCGGGCATCATCTGCGACTCATGGATGGTGACGCTCATCAAAGAGGCAGCCTTCGCCGAGCGCTGCGTCGTCGGGGTCGACGAGGCGTGAGAAGCCAGTGTGTGCGGTGTGGGAGGGGGATGGGGAGTGGGTCGGGTGGTGCAGACGATGCGAGGAGCAGCACCGTACCGGAGCACGACGGTCCAAAGGGGGACGAGAGGGTGACGACTATGTCTCTTTCTCGCTCACTTGCTGTGGCTCTGTGCGCGGGCGGGCGGGTGTCGAGGGCAGAAGCAACGTGGGGTCGGCAAGAATGGGCGTGGATGTGTGTGGATGTGTGTGGATGGAGTGTAGTCGAGCTCGAGGAGTAGCAGAAGCCGGCGGGTGTGAAGCTCGAATAGTTGGCAGCTCTGCGCCCGTCAGCCCTCGCTCGCCGTGACCCGACTTCCGTCTTGCGCTAGGCTTGGCGCTTGGACAGTGCCTGATTGCATCCACATTCACAGCCATTCCATTCATACACCGGCCGACAACGAGCAGCGTGCAACTCCACCGACCCCGCCCCTGTCAGGCCCTGCGGATCGCTGCGCTGGTGCAGCAAATGCCTCCCTAATTGTCCATTAGAGCTGTCGTCTTTTCCCTGGCGTCGTGTTGCGCCATGTCAGCGCAAACGCTCTGCTCCATAGCCGTCGTACGGGGAGATTGCGCGTCTGGATTAAGAACAGCCGGCGTCCCTCAGCCACACCAATAGTCCCAGCAGCCCGGGTGCGGCGTCATGCTGTGGCACTCGCACTCGCCCGGTTTGTGAACGCTCTCTCCTCACCTTGCATGGCTAAAACATGCACACAGCCAGGCGACACAGGGCGAGAGGCCTTTTTTTTTTGTTTGAGCGTGTCGCCTGTCAATGCTGCGCCCGTCCATCCGCATCCGTCTATTCCGGCATTGCTGTGGTGCCAAGCAGCGGGCTTTTGAGCATGCGAGCCGGGCCTTGCCCTGCCTGTCTGCCTGCGCCGCACTTTCTGGCGTCTGGCCGGCAACGACTAGCTCCAGGTCCGCCGCTAGCCCTACGCCCTAATCTCCAGGGTAACGTTGCTTTCTTGCAATGTGTACTAGCACCTCTGCTATGTGAGTGTTTTGTTCCGAAACACACTGCGCTTTCGCCCTTCCCGCCGCCCTTCCTTGCGTTGTTGTTATTGTTGTTGTTGTTGCTGTTGCCAAAAGCGTCATGATACTACCAAGCAGTCCTTGGTAGGCGAGCGGTGTAAGAGAAAGGGGCGCCGCAGGTGGGCACCCAACATCACGTGCACGCGCACGTGAAACCACAGCACCCCACTGCCATTTCATCTGCCAGGGTCCATTCTCGACGTCTTCATGGGCCTGCGTCAGCCTTGTCTACTGCAACTATACCCGCATCCTCGCCATCTCTAACCACTTGCCATCCTTATCCCGCTACTGCTGCCTTTGACCTGTCACCCAAAATAGAACTAGCTAGCAACAAGAAACGACCACAAAGCTCGACAAAGTGCGAACCGTTTCAAGCCACGCCCTAGGCTCCTACTAGCAACCTTGTTCGCCGTCTGCCACAACACCAGACTCAAACATACCTCATCTCCATGGGGGCCAAGACCATGCAGCGCTCATGCCCTGTCTCGGCCTCTCTACACCACTCTCTCGGTCAACGTGGCTAATGAGCAATTCTTAGTCTGGCCACCCACATCCTGGCAAGGCCGATGCTAATGCCACAACAACTCTGTCCTGCGACATGCAGCGCTTCAGCCGGCAGTAATCCGATAGCATTGCCCAGAACTTAATGTGATGACTTCTGTATTTGGCAACTTTTTTCTCACCACGCCCTCGTCGAGCATCTTCCTCACTTCTCCCGCGGCATGCTGTGCAATCTGCGTCAGCTTGACTGCCCAGCCACGATTGTCTTTGTCTGCATCGTGGGCAGAGATCCAAGCTTTTGCGTACAAGCTTTTGGCGATCTCAGTCCCGCCCGGAGACCCGGCTGATATGTTGCCGCCAAGCCACCATGGGTTTTCGACGCAGTCAAAAGAATGAAGAAGCGCAGTTAGAGGCAAGGCTGATTCAGAAACAAGATACGAGCTGGCATATGGCCGTATCATGTCGTATGAAACTCCATGGGGCGAGTAGATGACCGACAGCGTCTTTTCACGATTGTTGTACGGCGAGGGCACAATGGTGCGAGGCGACGATGCAATCGTCATCGGGGATCCTGGCGACGGAGGCGGGCTCATGGGAAGATCAATGTAGTGCATTGGGCTGAGCGAAGAGAGCACCGTGCATGGAGGCCGATATGTTATACCAATAGCATGGTGGACCTTGGAGATGTCGCGTTTCGCAGGTATCCAGGTCACCGTCACTTCACCACACGTTCCTCGAGCCGAAGGTGGGGGTAGCACAATGCGATGGACAGATCGGTCATCTCCCTGTGCAAATCGTGGAAGGGCATGTACGGCCTCGGGACGAAAGTGCTTCCACGATCGAATCTTCTTGGCTGCAGCGGGAATGGCTAGAATGGTCGACTCGCCGTCTGGTGGCAGTTGACGCAGTGTCGCTTCATGGCAATGGTCGGGCTTGTCTTGGGATATCAACACGAGGTCAGGCTCGCGATCCAGGTCTCGGAGATTCGAGATGGACGGCTTTGCCCTTTGCTCCGAGTGTGAGAAGACAGAGTTGAGGATAATCGATGGCCCAGTCAGCCAGGCTGCCCACGAAACAAAGCGTTAGCAGATGGCCGGCATGCGTCCAGGGGCATCACATGCTACGATGAACAAGTGTGGGCGACTGGCACCGCCTAAACCTTGGACTAACTTACGGTCAACTAGAATCGTAAAAGAACCGGGAAACAAGCCCGGGGACGACGGTGGGGCTGCAGGTGGGTCGAAGGTAAGAAGGAAGGAAGTGTCTCCATTTAAGGACTGCACTGAAAGCGACATGGTTGGCGGTAGCGGCAGTTGAGGCAAAGCACACCACGAGGCAGCTGCGGTACGGTGGGAGACATGAAGGGGCCAGTCCCAGAAAGCAGGGCACGGCAATACTGCGTCAAGCTGTCATGGAGCGAGATTACGCTTGGAAGGTGGACGCGGATATGGTAGTTGTAGACGAGCTCCGTGGTAGGAAGGAGCAAGTGCACACGAGGCCATGTGTAACCACATTTGGAAGCAAATTAAAGACATGGCACTAATACTCCTACTTACTACAAGACTACAAAGGTAGTCGCAGAGGACAATCGCTTATCGCCTGGCTCTGTCAGCAATCTCCCACCGGCTGTTCATGCAAAAAGAAAGAAAGAAAAAAAGTCACGGCTGGCAGGATGGTACTTTTTTTTCTCGTCCCCTGTCTTCCTTCCTATTTTTCTCTCGTCCTTGCCGGCGCCCGACCAAGCCGCGCCGGATTTCGCCATGGGACATGCGGCCATGTGCAAAAGTGACAGCCTTGCCGGCGGAGGGTGCAGCTAGCTCGGGGTTGCAGCAGTGGGAGCAAAAATCTTTTCACGTTTGTTGCGCCGTAGCCGGTCTTGTAGTGCAGACGAACAGGCTCCGGGGTGTGGGCTGGTCCAGTGGCATTCACGGGCTTGAAGCTATGGCAGTGCACGGGACTCGAGCTTCTGCGAAGCCTCGTGCCGATGATGAGTCGCTCTCCAACTCGACGCCGTCTGATTGGAGCGCACAACAATCTATGGGAACGATAGGTCATTGGGCAGCACAAAGCTCTTTCTCCAAACTGCCCGGTTCTTTCGTCTGGTCCCAGGCACGATCCCGGGCTGTGGTCTGATTGCTCACTTGCTGGAAGCTTGCCGTGGCGACACAGCTCTCTGCCTTTTGCAGCAGCACGAGCAGCAGCTGCAGCAGCAGAAACAGCAACAGCACCAGCACCAGCAGCGCACGCCCATTGACGCCTCCTCCGCGCCTGCAGTGCATGGCCACATCGTCATCCTCGAATAAAGCTTTCACTCGGTCTTCCCCAAGCCCCGCGGCCTTGCGTAGCTGCCCCGCATCCGCCTGCCCTTCTGTCTGCAGTTGGCAGCAACTTCAGCTCAGAGCTTCCTCCACTAAGTGTGAGCCAGAGAGCTCCTCGACACACCTTGCCTGTAGTCGCCGCGACCAGCTGGAAGCTGCGCGCCCTCCGTACACAGCTTCCCTCACCCGCCTTAGAGCTTCCCGCGCAATTTTTGCTTCTCCGAGAAGCTTCTGCCGTTGATGCTTGCAGCCATGCCTCCTTCGCGCGCAGCACCGCTTACGAGCTCCTTCTCCGTCAGTGACGAGAACAACGTCGTCGTCTGCCCGCTGCGCAACCATGATAGCTCAGCTTGCCGAAAGCGCTGTACCGGCGTAAGTCTCCCACGAGAGCTAGCTACCCCACGTCATCCCACGCCTCGAAGCTCCCCTTGCCCCAGCTGCCGACTAATCCACCATGTGTAGGAGAAGCGCTTTCGCTCTATGCAAGAGCACATTCGACGTGCTCACCCAGAGCACTATATTTCCAAGCTTCCAGCAACAGAGGTATGAGCTTTCAGAATATCAAAAAAAAATTAGCCACATTACATGCTAATATCATCTGCTCGCTCGTAGGAAAGTTTTCTGTTAATGGTCAATACACCACCGCAAGAACGAGCTCCTCCTCCTCCCCCTACAACGACGGCAGTGACAGCGCCACAAACGTATGATTACAGCAATAATGAACACAATTCCTTCTTCGAGTCCGAATTCGGTGCCAATTCTCTTCGAGGGCCTGGCGAAACGCGTCGGCCATCGCTATTGCCTACCGCGACTGCTGCGGCTGCCCTGGCCTCGTTACACAATCACCGTGCAGAGTATGACTGGGATTCAGATCCGGTAAGAAGCCGCACTGCAGCGTTCCCTGCATACCATAAGGCTAACACATGCTGTGAACAGGACGCAGCATCCGACCCAGACTCGAAGAACTTCAGGCCCCGCGCGCGCTTTGCCCCAACCCCCGTAGGCCCACCGAGCAATACCGAAGAACCATACTATACCTCTGGCTCTATCCAGCAAGAGCTCTTGCCATCTTCCCTCGCGCGCTCGCCTCCCGGTCGCTCTTCCACTCTGCCTCCGGGAGCTCACTCTCTTAAGCCGAACCGGCCTCGCAAGCCATCCATAGGGCAGAATGCTCGTCGAGGAAAACATGAACGCCAGAAATCAAAAGAGCACAATCGGAGAATGAGCTATGACCGAAAAGCATTTTCGGCTGAGCCTGCAACAGCAGCTGCCATCATGGGCAAACGGTGGGAAGACCTCATTGACGCTGCTGCTTCAGCAACTGAAGAGGATAGCCGTGACCTGACCCCTGTAGGTTTCTCACTCTGGTTTATGATCAAAGCTGACGTAACCAGGTGCCGCAATCACCCAATCACTCACCCCACATGATGAACAGTCGAACATCCATGCCACCCTTCAACTTTGCTTCACAACTCCAGTCATACACCGCATCCCCCTTGAACAATGCTTTGACGCCTCCACCGCCGGACATGTCGGATCTGCAGCCCTTTCCCTCTGTCGAGTCATCGATTGAATCAGCAATGTCTGGCCACAATTTTCATATGCCCTCGCAGGGCCTTTCTGACTCGTCTCCCAACTCCCTATTTCCTGTTCAAATATACTGCGCTGCCTGTCGGAAGCTGTCCATATTGCGCGACAGCTATGCATGCTCTGAATGCATCTGCGGTCTGTGCCAGGAGTGCGTCGACGTTCTGGTCAGCGAGCATAATCGCGGTCGCGCTCCGACATGCCCACGGTGCAGCACCATTGGAGCCAAGTTTAAGCCCTTCCAGCTGGACATTAGATGAAACGGTTTGGACTTTCTGCGATTTTTGATCTTGGTATTGCTTATTGGCGTTCTGTTACGGCCCCCCACACGTTTCCTGGGCCTTGGATCTAAGTACCGGCGTTTTCTCCAGCATTATTAGGACAACGGATTGGACGGCGTTTTACTATGTTTACTTTTCAAGAGCAGTGCAAGTAAGCACTACTCAAAAGCAGGTTGAAATACTGCATCAAGGAACGGAAAGTCCTCCGTGCTGCAGTCATGATGAATGAAGAGATGCAGAGATAGATTACGTCTGCGAATACAAGTCAAGTGCGGATATGCACACTGCTATGATGTTTTGGTCTCTCCAGCCTGCACAGCACAGATCCGATAATCAAGCCGTCAAGCATGCACTATGCAATGGACTCGAGCTTCTGTCTTCCACATTATCATCCTAGGCTACGTCAGCATCAAAAAAGCTCGACACCCGCCCTCGTGACAGAGTGGTGGTGAGGCTGGGGCGGCGCCGATTCGGCAAAGGAAAAAAGATGCGGTGACTGAGCCGTGGTTTAATGTGGGCGGGAGTCTGTGAGTGTCAGGAGCTAAGTATACGTCACATGTCAGTTCACGGGTGTTGGGAAGTGGGCGTCCATGCCAAGGCCAAACTACTATCGTAACGAAACGCTTACTCTTGATACGATGAAGGCGTAGGATCGGTCTAGAATGGCCAGACTCTGTTGAGAGTGAAGAACACGAGAGGGGAGATTGCGGATGATGAGCAAGAGAGGAATAGCTGGTAGGATTTCGGCTGGTCGCAAAAAGCCGGCAGCAAGATATCTATTTTGGCCGTTGCCTACTGCAGGGAACGAAGCGATGTGGGGGGCTTGGGCTGAACGGGCGTCTTGGGTCCCGGAAAATCAACGTTAGGATACGTATAGTCGGCTGCTGAAGAATGGCGAACAAAGGGGGCAGCTGCCGCCGCCACTGTCTGCTGCACGGACAAAGCGTTGACTGATTCGTATCGATTGGCGGTTATAATAGTCATCCGGATAAAAGAGCCATGACGAATTCGGAAGTAACGATTCGAGCACACCTACGCGACGCCGCTCCTCAGACCGGACTCTGGACTGTAGTCAAGAAAGACCAAAATCGCCTGCCTGCTGGCAAGTTTTGCGATTCGTGGCCATCGAAAAAGGAGGGGTTATCGTTTTGTTGCGTGTATGGAGGGTGCGCATGACCTCTACCTCTCGTCAATGTTTCCTGTTGTCAGACCAATCACACTTTATTTCCTGATTGGGCCAATCACGGAACAAGCAAATAATGGCAGAAGGGACGCAGATGCCGGCAAGGTACATATGGCGGTGAAGTGAGCGGGAGGGAAGCTTCTTTGCCCGAGCATGGAAAAGCCAAGCCCGTCTCCTAATACACGTTAAATACGTATAGTCTTGTTTGCAAGCCAATCGCTACACTTGGCTCAAAGGACATAGTGTCAACAAGCCGCCGTCCGGATATGGCTCGGTGTAGATCAGACTAATGATACCGGGCGAAGACCAGCTGACGGGGTTTTGACGAGAGAAGCGCTTCTGCTTCTTGATGATACCGCCATGCAACTGCAGATCGTCACCAATCTCACAAGTCATGTGCCGACCAATCCATCTTGGTTTGTGCAAAGCTCATGCAAATGCCATGTCATTGTCATGCTGCTCCCATTTTCCCACGATGCACACACCCTTCCCCCCTCTCCCCATAAAACAAACATCTCCACAGTTCATGTAGAAACAAGAAGACAACACATCCTGGGCAACCGTTATTCATTTCCTTTCCGTCCGTCCCCTGTCTCCGTTCCTTGCTCCCCGCCGCGGAACCTTTGTCTCTTTCTCGGAAACTTCAAATAAACGAAACACATACTACATAAAAACAAGCCCCCAGTTGACCCGATCGGCGCTTCTAGCGCAGGGCCTGGCCTTTGCAGATGCCCCAACCCCACACACCGACCGGCACACACACACACACTTTCAATAATCCTTGGGGCATGCAAGGCAAAACGCACGACACACACACACACACACACAAACATGTGCTTACTTACTTACTACTGTAGCCGCTGTGGGTCCCCCCTCCTCCTTACTCTCTGCGGCAACCAACCGCCAAAGAAAGAAAAGGAATGACA